ACTTCTAAATGGCCACCATGGTCACCACCCATCTTGAGGAGTTTGCCCCCTCACATATACTAATGTGCCACAAACAGGACTTTAATATCACCAACCATCCCCATGTTATTACGGTGTATCCATATAAATGCCCCACCCTGTATATTCGTGCTCATGGCACATTAATCCAGAGTCAAAGTGTTTTTTCAAAGAGGAAAATCTTAACTCTCTCCGAGCTATTTCCACATAGGGTTAGGGCCCTACCTGCTTCAACTTTCTTGTCTGGCAAGAACAAGACGTTTGTTCTGTAGAAACTTTTGCTGTTTCCACAAAAAAAATTTAAACCTACAAAGAGTAAATTGGCCCAAATGGAGGGTGAATGTAAAAGTTGTATTAGAGAACTTAATTGTTTTTGTTAGTTCAGTCATGAAGCAGATTTATTCAGGTAATTTAATTAAAACACAATTTACTTAGAAAAAGAACATTAAAACAAAACTTTTCATTGCAAGTTTACAAGGACCCCCTACCACCACTGGATCCATCATCAGGAATAAAGACAGAAATCTGTGAAAAACTCAACAATACTATGTTATGCTGTTTTCATATATTAGGTATGAAACCCTCAAAATACATTTAATTAAATTCAATTTTATTTAAACAGTGCCAAATCACAACAGTTGCCTCAAGGTGCTTTATACTGCATGTATTCCTACAATAATACATGCAGATCAATGACCCCCTATGAGCAAGCACTTTGGTGACAGTGGGAAGGAAAAACTCCCTTTTAACAGGAAGAGAAAGAAAACAGGATATAAGACATGCTGTGGAAGAGAGACAGAGATTAATAACGGGTATGATTTAGTGCAGAGAGGTCTATTAACACATAGTGACTGAGAAAGGTGATTGAAGAAGAAACACTCAGTGCATCACGAGAATCCCCCAGCAGCCTACACCTATTTCAGCATAACTGAGGGAGGATTCAGGGTCACCTGGTCCAGCCCTAACTATATGCTTTAGAACAAAAGGAAGGTTTTAAGCCTAAAAGTAGAAATAGCGTCTGTCTCCTGAATCCAAACTGGAAGCCGGTTCCACAGAAGAGGGGCCTGAAAACTGAAGGCTCTGTCTTGCTGCAGAATTTTGGATTAATGAAGGCTTTTCAGGGAGGTTTTAGAACTTCCTAATAATAATGAATTAACGTAGTCCAGCCTAGAAGTAATAAATGCATGAACTAGTTTTTTAGCATCACTCTGAAAATTAGAGGTCCAGGTATTTATGTCTTTTTAAGACATTCCTGCAGTTTAACTAACTAATTGGTGTGTGTTACCTGGCTTCATGGATAGATAGAGCTGGGTGTCATCAGCATAGCAGTAAAAATGTATAAGGGAAGCATGTTTAATGTAAACAGAATTGGTCCTAGCACTGAACCCTGTGGAACTCCATAATTAAGCATGTGAAGAGGACTCTCCATTTCCGTGAAGAAATTGGAGTCTATTAGATAGCTATGTTACAAACCACTGCAGCGCAGTACCTGTAATACCTACAGCATGTTCTAATCACTCTAATAGGATATGCAATTATAAGAATAAGGTAATAAACTGAACAAAGAATGATGAGAGTTCTTCACTCCTCTAGACAATCCAATTTTATTCAGTTTTACTTATAAAGCACAAAATCACAATGACAGTTCTCTCAAGACGCTTTAAATTGTAAAGGACCTAAAATAGCAGAAAATACTGTCTTGAATATGAATCATCTCCAATCAGTTGTTGCAGTGACTTGACAGTGTAAGCACTACCACCAACACACTGCTATGACTCACAGGTGCTACTAGAATGCAGCTTCTCATCTTTGTGAGTTCTTCTATGACAGTTCAAAAGTGATTTTCGAGTGAATCTTTTCCCACAGGTGCTACAAGAATACGGCTTCTCGCCTGTGTGAGTTCTTACATGAGATTCCAATGCTGCTTTCTGACTACATCTTTTTCCACAGATCCCACATGAATATGGTTTCTCACCTGTGTGCATTCTCCTGTGTTTTTTAATTGCTGATAAATCAGAAAATCTTTTTCCACACGTGCTACAAGGATATGGTTTCTCACCTGTGTGACTTCTTTCATGACAGTCCAAAATTGATTTCTGAATAAATTTTTTTCCACAGGTGCTACAGGAATATGGCTTCTCACCAGTGTGAATTCTCTTGTGTCTTTTTAATGCTGATGAGTGAGAAAATCTTTTTCCACAGGTGTTACAAGTGTACGGTTTCTCGCCTGTGTGAACTCTCAGATGTATAGTCAGCACAAATTTATGCCGAAAGGTTTTTCCACAGATGTCACATTCTAGAGACTTTTTCCTTGAGACAGGTTTACTTTGACTCTCTGACACAGCAGTGTTGTCTTGTCTCTGTCTATGACCTCTCTTTCTGTGATGTCTCTTCTTCAGCTCTGTATTTCTAGTAGATCCTGACTCCACGTGCCCATTTTCTTCATGATCTCGGCTCTCTCCTTCAGGAGAGCTGTGAGAAAGAAGCTGCTCACTGTGGTCACTTTCCTCATAAGATCGAGTCACCATGAAAGTATCAGCCTCCTGCTTCAGTCCAAGCTGCTCTCCCTCCTGACTGCTGCACAGTTCCTCCTGTTCCTCTTTAATCTGTGGAGGCTCTGGGTCCTCCTGGTCCAGACTGGAGTTCCTCTCCTGGTTACAGACCTGCTGGTCTGTGAGAACACCGTCCTTTTCAGAGAGATCCTGCTGTTGGAGGTCTGAAAGCACAAATGAACAAAATGATAAAAATACATTTACTGACAGGGCTCTAGACTAACTTTTTGCCATCGTTACACCGGCACAAAAGTTAGGTGGACTAAAATGTTTCAACCGCATCACTTAACACCGCAGTTTTACATGTGCACTTTTTTGGGGGGGGAGTTGCAGTCCATACAGACAATATTAATTTCTAAATTATTAACTAACAATCTTATGCTTAAAGTGCTTTGGCAATATTGTAGAAAATGTTAAACTTAATCATCATCTTGGCCTCCTCTGACGACCTGTTTGTTGCTGTCTGCTGCTGAAAGGCAATGGGGAGAGGGGACACTTGGGCAGTGCATTTATTGCAGCATATAATGTGTTTTCTGGATACACTGTGCTTTTTCAGCGTTCAAAGACAGATGGCACCATGTCAGAGCTGGCTATGAACTTCAGATGGATCAGGCCTTAACTTAACAAAAAAGTTATCAATAGTTCTTTTCATCTTTTCTTATTACCCACAGCTACATCCACTTCTGTTAGGCCAAGGCTGCTCACTAGGGCTGCGTATCATCACTGATTTCTATAATCCATTCGATTCAGGTTCTCAAAGTTCTGATTTGATTCAATTTAGCCTCAGCCAGTCAGAAATATTATAATTCTGATCATTTATCAGTACGGATACATGTGAGACTTCATCAGAATTGTGAACATCACAGCAGATGCCTTTGTGTCAAAGTAACTGAGAATAAAACACAGAAAAACATGAAGGAGATTTTTCTGGCCTGGCTTTTTATAGCAGATAACCTTAAAAATATTCTGTAATTTTGCATAATTTTAAAAAGTTTTTCTTCAGTATTAAACAGCAGAAATTAGGCTTTCTTTTCCGAGGTCATTTAAGTAAATAAAAAAAAAAGAAAAAGACAGCGGCCGACAGCGCTGTAATCAACGGTAGACTGGTGGGTAATAAGCGAATGAATAGTGCAGAAAACAGATTTGAGACGGGAAACTGTTCTTGAAGTACAGAGAGAGAGAGAGAGAGAGAGAGAGAGAGAGCTAGCTGTGCATGAAGTGTGATTTTTATCGTGGTGGAAGCAAAACAGCAAAACTCAAAGGGAATTCATGACGACATTGACCAAATGTGAAGCGCAGTTTGCTGCTTCTTTTGCTGCTGGCTCTGTGAATTTTAGTTGGAGAGAGACAAAACCTGAAGCTCAGAATCAGCGCAAAAAGACGTGAACACAGAGCTCCGACAGCGTGTCCGTCTACGGGCCGTCGGGTGAGAAAGCCGAGAAAGACAAAGTTGATTCTGATGCGTCGGGTCTGTGTTTACGTCTTTGTGTGGAATCCGTGTACCTGCTCTCATTTGCTGTTTGGTTGTTGTTGAAATGGTTTTGTGAGCTTTAATTTGAGAATCTGGCGTTTCTGGCAAAACACAGTTATATTTAAAAGTCGATTTAGGATTTAATGAATTGATATCGCTTTATTCAAGCTACTCACCTCCATCTTCCAACTGCACTTTCAATTGGACCACGGCCAATCAGAGAGGTCCCGCCCATGACTATCTCTGATTGGTTTAGTCCACGACACGGGCATAATGTGTGTCTGTTGTTGACCACATGGAGAGTTACAGAGGTTTTATTTTTTGTTACCCGAACAGTTGGTCGCACTCTGCTCAATGTTATTTTTAGTAACACTATTATTTTTACAATGTTATTACAATGTTACTGGTGGTGGTCAGAGGGCCCGGTGGCGCCAGTGTCTGGGAGCCTCGCCTCTGTCAGTGCGCCCCAGGGCAGCTGTGGCTACAATGTAGCCTGCCATCACCAGTGTGTGAATGTGTGTGTGAATGGGTGGATGACTGAATGTAGTGTAAAGCGCTTTCGGGTCCTTAGGGACTGAGTAAAGCGCTATACAAATGCAGGCCATTTATCTTTCTTTTTTTTTACAATGTTATTTTTACTCATCACCTACATGGGTGACCTTCATTTTTATTAGGACATCAGAGTCTTACATACCTATTTTGTGTAACTTTATCACAGGTTTCCAGATGGTCTCCATCTCTCTCAGCTGCTCTTCCCCAGTCCAGACGATAATGCCTTCAGCCTCCTGCTTCAGTCCAAGCTGCTCTCCCTCCTGACTGCTGCAGAGCTCCTCCTGTTCCTCTTTAATCTGTGGAGGCTCTGGGTCCTCCTGGACCAGACTGGAGTTCCTCTCCTGGTTACAGACCTGCTGCTCATCCAGACCCTCCTCTTCCTCACAGTCATGATTTTGTGGGAGGTCTTGAGGAACAAAGAAAAAAAACAGAACAAGGTAACTAATGTGATGATACAAGAACACACGCAACACTATTTTACAAAAGCATGAATCAAAGCCTGAATAAATCGTGATCAATTGGAGAGACAGTGAGCTCAGATTGTAGCCTGACCAGCGCCACAGTGTGGTATTGATCATGTTAAATTAAGTATATGAATGCAGGATGTTTTCATCAGCTGAGGCGGGTCATAGAGGCACTCTCAGGCAATGAGGTGGAATTCACAGGTGATGATGCAAAAAACGCATGAATGTTTTCCAGTTTTGAAATAGTTTAAAGTGTAAGAGTTCAAATGTGCAACTGTCATTAAAAATAAAGGCACCACTGAGCAGTGAGATATATTCATTTGTAAATGTATAAAATTAATAGTTTTCTGTTAACATTCTTTTAGCATCTTGTCATTTTTGCAGAAACAATGTTGCACTTTGGCGTTATATTTTTCATGTTCACTGTAGAGCTTCATCACCAGGTCATGTGATAAGGTCTATCATGTTAGATGGTCTGTCTAACAATATCAATAGGACCTAAAACACTGACACCTGATGAACTGTTGGAGAAAATAAAGTTTAAAAAATTAAATAAATGCAACAAAATGCGTATTCTTTAAAAAAGCATTTTTTTCTTTAAGCTTCTCTAAATTTTAGTGCAGAATAAACATTAGAGCACTTTGTTTAAGTATTTATTACAATCTGGTTTTGTGGAAAGATAAACTAGTTTAGATTTAGATATGTTTACAAAATGTGTGCATAAGTGTTCAAAATGTACAATTTATATTTGCATTTCAAGTTATAAAAATAATTTACTCAACATGTCTGTGTTGTTTTTTTTAACAGTAAAATAATACTGGTGGGATTTTGTTTTTTGTGTGATTTCAGATCAATGAATGATGTCAATGAAAAAACAATTCAGATATGCGAGGTTGAGCTGAAAAGAATGATACCAAGGCAAAGGGGGAAAAAAATTAAATGAAACAGTCTGAGGGTGAAAAACAAATGTAAAATCAAAAGGTGTCAAAAATGTCCGGTTATATTTTGGACCTCAG